TAAAAAAAAATTGAATTTTACACACAATAATTATAAATATACTAAATCTACTTGACCCAATTCAAGATTTAAGTTATAGATTAGACAAGTTGATCTAAATCAACAAAACATAATCTAATTTTATTTATAAAAAAATAATATTGACTCAAAAATAAATCAAGCAAAGCAAGTTTTATGAATTATTAAAACTCAGTTAATTAAGAGTTGCAGCAATTCAGATTGATAAACAAAGGGAGTAGCTGAATCTTCCCTTTCATTTCTTTCAAATGATGATCAACTGGTTATTCCATCATCTAAATTCCAACCAGTCAAAAGGTAATAAATCAAAGGCTAGTTAGTTGAATCTTTAGATTAGATAATGCCAAAGACGTTATTAACCTAATAGATTGTTAACTGAATATCTTTTTGAGTGCACTGTTGTGTTTTATATTAACAGATCAGTGTGTTTTACATATGTTATTTTTAAAAAAAAAAAATTATATTTAAAAAGATTAAAAATATGATCATAATATAATATTTTTAAGCTAGTTACGCGTGATGAGTTTAAACACATTTAAATTTAAAAAGCTATGTACCACACCCATCATCCCCAGGCTTTGTTATACAGTAAACTTAACTATAATTGCATCTAGCAAATTATTACATCCAACATCCTCGAACTCATCATCAATTAGCCATTCCACCATCTAAATTCTACCCAGTCAAAGGTAATAAGCCAAAGGCTAGTCAGTTGAATCTTTAGACTGGATAATGCCAAAGACATTATTATCCCAATAGATTCATAATTGATTTTTTTTTTTATTGCAGTAAGTTTTATATTAATAGATTAGTGTGGTTTATATATGTTTTTTTTTAATTCATGTCTAGCATATTAGAAATTTTCATTACAACATTTAATAGTTTTATTGATGAAATTTTTTCGTCAATGTGAGATTATCATTCCATCGGTAATTTTACTAATTAATTCATTGATGAAATGAATCATTTGGTATAACATTTGTCCCTAATTATATTGATAAAAAAAAATGATGGTTTTACAGATAAAAAATATGTATGCTAAAAAAAATACCCATGGAAAATATGTCGACGGAATTATCCGTCGGCATATTTCCATCAATGATTGTGGTATATGTAGTTAAGTTTTTTCAACTCTCTAGAAAATACAAACGGACTGAGACAGTCGGTATTTCTATTGGTAAATTACCGATGAAATTAGTTATGTCGACATATTTTTATAAGTGATTATGGCATATGCAGTTAAGTTTTTCCAACTCTTTGAAAAATACAAACAGACTGAGGCAATCGGTATTCCCATTGGTAAATCACCGATGAAATTAGTCTATTAGTGATTGTGGTATATGTAGTAATTTTTTTCAAACTCTCTAGAAAATATCAATAGATTGAGATTGTCAGTAACTCCATCTATAATATTTTTTAAAATTAAAATTATATAGAATAATTAAAAATAATAATAATTAAGCAAATCAAATTGTATAAAATCAAATTATGTAAAAATAAAATTGAATGATATAAAGTCCAAATATTCATTACAATTTTAGTTGTACAAATAAAAAATTAAACTAGAATAATGGCAGCACTAAAGGAGGAGGAGGAAGTTGGTCGTTTCCAGGACCATATGACCAAAAATGAAGCACACGCGCATCACTCATTTGTGATTTTATGTCCATGACCATTTGGCATAGTTGTTTATAATCTGTCGAGAGTTGTTCTCTTTTTTTACATGAGTCGTATGTTGTTGTGAGATCACGAACTCCTAAAACTGAGTGCTCGATAATGATTGGAAGTTCCCAACGGTTGAGACACTACGGGTCGCTCACAAGTTTTCAGCCATAATATTTGAGAGTTCGTATACCTGATTTCTATCAGGTCCATCAGACATTCCTACCTCCATCAACAAATCTAGATCAAAATCCAGATAGGTTGAAGGATTGTCCTAATGTCTCTCCATCAACTTGCTATTATATTTCTCCCAAAAATTAAAAAAGAAACCATCAAATTCAATTCAAGAAAATAATAACTTACGAAAGAAAATAGTTGAACGAACATACCACGAAGTGTTTAGCGCGGTTGTCAACAAACTGTTGCACCCTCTTTTGACGATCTTCACTCTACACGTGTGTCTTCATAAAAAGCTTCATTGGACTCGACTCACATCCAAGAGATGTAGCCTACAAGAAAAAAAAATTACAAGTTAAATATATTTATAAATAACAATGAATTAATTAAAGATAAATGTTATTAAAATTAGTCTCACCATCCACTTCGTACGTGCAATGAACGAAACGGAGCTGCAGTATATATGGTAACCAAATCATGAATTTGTTGGTTTCAATTCTCAACACTGGATTGTGAGCGTTGTGTAAATCACTTAAATGTCAAGTGCTATATATACTACACTCATATATCCTCCAGAATGTATAATAACCTAAAATCCCTCCAAGCCACTATGTTATTCCAACTTGATAGAGTATTATCTCTAACTTTTTTTTTAGTTTTTTTAACGTTTTATATCAAAAGTCATGTTATTCCAACTGGGTAGAGCATTATCTCTAACTTTTTTTTAGTTTTTTTAATGCTTTATATCGAAAGTCATGCAACCTTTATAATACAAATGTATTTCATGTGAGTTAATGACAAATTAGATTTTAATATATAAACTTTTAAAAAATATCATATTATTTTTGAAGTTATCTAATTACAACATAATTCTCTAAGACCCTCTTTATAATATTATTATTTGCTCTATCTTACTTGAATTTGTTCTACATATAAATAATTTATTAAAAATAAATCAATAGTTTCAATATAACATAAAAAATCATTAAATTTTTTAAATTAACACTAATTTTAAATTTTTTAAACCATGTATCAATATAAAATTTTTAATTAAGATATTTGAAAACCTAACTGCGAAACAATAAAATTACCACCAATAATTTTAAAAAAAATCAATGATTTTGAAAAAGCTCTACTCTGCTGCATTGTCTGGCGATGCTGGTTCAGTCCCTTTTTGTACCCATCAAATTTAGGTGTTTACCTTTCAACTCAGGTCTGGAAGATTCTTAACAGTTTAATGCAACTTCCAAACCAAGTTTTTAGCACACCAATAATACTGTTCTCGCAATTAAACTAGAAGAAACACGATGCTGATTTCAAAGATTACATTTAATTTCACACCGAAAATTCAAGTGCAGCTCATGTTGCTGAGGATTACAACAGAGTTTGTTTATTTTCTATCAAGGAAGAAAAATCAGATTCAATCCATAAGAGAAATACTACTGCATCATTTGCAAGTGTCATTCTCCCAAACACTGTCCCAGGAACCACTTGGAGCTGGCTTTGGTCCTTCTATGTAAAGCGGGTTTGCATTGGTACCTTCTGGTCCTGGAAGAGGAAGTCTATGGGGACCATGCGGGTGGGCCATTCTAGGCTTTGTTTTGATCCCTAGCAGCCTCAATACAAATCTAGCCACCTCTCCATACAACATACCAGAGCGATCGAAAAGCTGTCACAATTAACTTTTTAAATAACTTCTTGTATCAAAATACACGGAAATGATGTTTTTTTTATTTTTAAAAAATTATTTTTGATATTAGCACATCAAAATAATTTAAAAACACTAAAAACATATTAATTTAAAATAAATAAAAAATAAAAAATTAATTTTTTTCAAAAATGTTTTTGAAATGCAGAAATAAACAAACTCTATATAATGCTGATTTGGACCACAGAAGATAGCTGTTCCTACAAGCTACAGTTCAAAGGATTTCCAAAGATTGGTGTCTCAAAACTTCAACACAAAGCAATTTGCTACGAAACACAAAGATAGAAGCCATCTAGCCATATCCCATTCTAATATAAAATGGGAATTAAAAATATGCATCCGCTCACGAACATGGATGAAATTGCTTCCAAGTTTAATTTATTCCACAAAGTGTTTATGATCACCCTAACATCAACACCATTGCAGCTGGCAGCTTAAATTAATGAGAACTAGTTAATACTATCAAGTTGGATGACATAGGTTTGATCATGCATAATGATATTATGACAAAAGTAAAAAAGCAAGTGTTGAGAGCCGGACATGAGATAATATTTTATCTGACAATCACTTAACCAGCAAAAAACAAGGTGCAAGGAAAAAGATAGTGAGAATACCTGAAGAAGTGCAGTCATGAGCATGTGAAAAGCCTGTGTATTCTGGTCTATGAGAATCGATATGCGACCAAAAAAGTTCACCACGCCTTGCAACTGTCATCATAGAGAAAATGGTGATTTTCTAGAGAAGAATAATAAGGCAATTAAACTAATCAGATATGTTCCTAAGCAACTAATTTAACATGATTGCAATTTGAAAGGTGAAATTCTTCCGGCAAGTCATATGCATTGGGCCATTGGGTATCTAATTTGATATGATCTCTGCTCTTACCCAACAACATTAGACTTTAATAAACATTTAATTGGACCATGTCTATAAATAAATTACATTTATAACTCCAATCATTTCTTGAAACAGCATATGTAACTAATCAAAAGAAAACCATAGGTATTACCACTCGAAGAAATGAAATCCAAAACCCTGGTGGAGATGGAGGTGCACCAAAAGGATTATTAGGGTCTTGAGCTCCATAAGGACCACCCATGCCCATTCCATAACCACCCAATGGGCCTCCGAAACCACTATTATACATTCCACCACCATACATCCCAGAACCATAAAGTCCAGAATACCCTCCTCGATACATGTTGTTTCCATACAGCCCTCCACCATATGATGAACCATACATTCCTGACCCATATCCAGAATTATAATTCAGAGTGGAATTATAACCTGAAACAGGTTAGGAGAAAAAAGGTTAAACAAGATTCAACTATCACAACAAAGAGCAAAACTTTATATTGCTAATAAAAATCTCTACTCGCCTCCATAGCTGCTCATGCTATAATTCTGCTCCCAAGGCCTTGAAGGAAGAGGCCTACCAACAGCATTTGTGTTTGCGGCACTACCTGAGCTTTGAACAATTTCTCCGGGCCTTGCAGTTCCTGAAGCCTCAACGACATCACTTGTGCTGCCAGCTGATGGTGGTTTAAAAGGTGTAGCACCAGAAGAACCACCAGCTTGCTCCCAGGGTTTCGGGGGAGGATTGTTAGCTGCAAAATGGAACCACATAGTTACATCACAGAAATTTTACAGGGTAAAGCAACTAAAAATTAAATAGCATCTAAAGAGTGAACGATGTCAAAAAAGAATGCACGCAGAGAAGATAAGTGACATGATTTTTACATAGGTAAGAAAAGGCATCTTGGCAGATCAGTACAGCTCGAGAGTCATTTTTCAGCATAACAAGTTTGCAAAATAGATTACAGCAAGTTGAGAGATTCGAAAAGGATGCAAAAAGAAGATGAGAAAATGAAATTTATCACAAGTCAATGCAACAAAGAAAACGAAGAAATTATTAGGCATATAAAAAGCTAAACACCATGTTTCCTAAGCATCTTTCAGAAAGACCTCAAGCACAGCTTATAATCAGAACAAATTTCCACATGATTACACCTTAAACTTCTATTGACTCCACAAAGTAGAACCTTTTTACCTTTCACAAGTTCAACTCATAATCACAACACCAACTTCGAAGAAATGCTATTTCTTTATCAAAGACAAAAATCCCATGAAAAAAGTTCACAAATTTATATTCTAAAAAGACCTTCAAACTGTAATTATTTTTTAATAAAACTAAACCCACTATTCCTTTATCAAATACAAAAAACCCATTTCTTCTCCTTTCTCTTTTCCATCTTTCTTACCAACCAAACACAACCCATAAATATAATTTTAAAAAACCCATAAAGATCCCATCTTTGAAACTAAGAAAAAGCTCCCATGATCCCTTGATTAATACTACACAAAACCCATAAATCAGTCCTCTTTCCTTCAACTAAAAAGATCATCTCGAGATAGAAATAAATAAAGACATACAAATTAAAATTAATTAAGAGAACCAAAGGATGGATTTTTTTTCTGTTTAGACAAACCTGATGGCTGTGGGTTGGATGCCATGCGAGTTGCAGAGAAAAGGCATCAGTTATTGCAATGAGAGAACAGAGATTTACTGCAGAACTAAGAAAACAGTGTTGTACGAATATATATATCTTAATTTTATTCTTTTTTTATTTTATTTTGTGATTGTTGCTTTTACAGTATCCGCGCTCTGAAGGGTCCAGTTGTGCTTGTTTGTAATTTTGCTGTTGCTGACATGGATTTTTCCTTTCTTTAATGGCTAGTTGACTAACCAGTAGTTTGAGAGGAAAAACTGAAGCAACTTCTCCTCCCCTCTTTCACCCCTTTTTTTTATATATAGTTACAGGAACCATATTTTTAAAAACCAGCAGGCAACCCGTTATTGATTAACTTGATGGGATCAAGTTTTTTTTAAAAAAAAAAAAAAAGTCGGACTAGGTTTCCCGATTAACAAAGCAAAACCTAATTAAAAAATCAATTGCAATATATTAATTATATAAAAATAAAATTGTTTTGATTTATAAAAAAAATAAAATTAGAATGAACTCAATCAATCTATAATTTAGATTTTGAACTTGATTAATTATCAGACTAAATTTAAAAACTCTAACAAAAAAGATTAAAAATACCAAATTAGATAAATTAACTCAAGTATTTTAAAATGTTATTATAGAAAAAATAAAAATAAAAAGAGGTTTTTCAAAGGACTTGGTCAAACCAATTCTTGGATTAGCGAATTACGGAATTGACCTTTTAGGCAGACTGAAATTTATAACCCATTTTTTCATTTGGAATGAAATATATTGTAGAGAGTTAATAAGAATTTTATTTAAATAAATTTGAAAGAGGATTTGAATCCTTGCAGCCATGTTAAGAGCACGAGTCTTAATCACCGGACCAACTCTTCGAATTCTTAAATATTTCGAGATTTACCAAATCACAATCCCTAGAGTTATAAAATAGAACAATATAACTAAAGTCAATAACGTACTCTTGATCCACGCTTAACCGAATTAACTATATTCAGACATCAAAAGCAGTTGCCCTGTGAAAACGCTTGCTTGCTTGCTCAAAGAGGTCCATAGATTTTGTTAATCTTTTTCAAGTTTCTTGATTATCTAAGTAGTTCACATACCAAGGAGGATTGCAGGAGCGCGCGTTTGTGCTTATCTGTCTGTGATACTGTCATGACAAACAAGGAAGTTTGACAGCCAAAAGTAGAAAGAAATGTCGTCAAACTTGAGCATTTTCCATTTTCATAAATTGAGATGTAAAACCCTACACAATCTACTAGGTTTAAGGGCACTACAGTGCATAACATAAGAACACAGTTCCCCGATTATGTTTCTACAACTAAACATCTTTTGCCACTTCTAGCATATACAGCATTATACATTAACATCAACTATGTCATACAAAATCATCTCTCTTTTTCCTAACTTTTCTCCCCCACTCTTTCTTTTATGGAATTCTGACAACCAATCATACAACTATATTTCTGCACCGGGAATGTTCGGTTGTACTGCATTGGAGTCCAATTTGTGATTGGTTCTGCAAATACTTTGAAAGAAAGAATTGCAGATGAATTATGGCAAGTACATACTCCTCATTTCAACCAAAAAGACACGAGCTAGACTCATAGATTGCCCGTGTCACCCATGTGTTCGGAGCTTCCCGTCAAAAAGCAATTGCTGCTGTCTGAGCTTCCCATAGCAAAAGGCGTGTGACGGACAAGGAACTTCACACTACGAGTCCCAACATATTCCATTATCTCCAGACACTCCAGCAAGTCAGAGTCGCTCACCAACAATACCCACTCCTCTTCGTCATCTAGATACTTGAGCTGGAATGTTCCAGTTTGCAATTTGAACCTCTTTGATACTTCTTCGTAGAGTTGGAGACATCCTGCTGCTGATGGATCAAATTTGAATCGTATTATATCTTCTCTGTACCTGGCTTTTACAGTAATTTTTAAATCACCATCACCAAAACTAGTTCTCTCTTTTGAATGCTTCCTCTCCTCGAAGCTCGGAGAGCTTGATATGCTGCCATGCATAATTGAACCAGAGCTGTTTGATGAGTCAGTCATGCTTGAACAAGTATGCTGGTTGCGCTCTACATTTCCATCATCACCCTCCATTTTGGTATCCATCTCCTCAGCAGCAACAAAGGGGAGTGAGCTTCGAGGCACAATGCAGGAGTCCGAGTTCTCTAGTATAATACCGCCATTTTTCATTCCCCCTATGTTGCCTGCTTTTGCAAAAGAACCTGGGAGGTCATTCTCGAGACAAGCCCAAGGTCCAGAGCCAAAGCTAGTCTGTTCACATAATCCAGCACCTATTGCAACTGACTTGGAATCTGCACTGCAATCAATCACATGAACACTACAGTCCTTTAACTCCCCCCCGCTAACTATGCAACATTCATCCTCTTCAACTTTAACAGTAGAATTATTTCCATCAGTACAAGAAGCCGGAAGTACTGAAACTACATCGTGGTTAGCTGGTTCAGAATTTCCATTGGATAGGTTTTTTGCTTGAAACACAAAACCATTTTGATGATCAAATTCTTGATTCATGGAGACCCCTGCTACAAAACCACCTGTGGTTGGATCAAATTTCAGCCCTCCTTCCACCCCCTGAACAGAATCAAGCACAGTCTGTATTTTTCTTAATGAGCGGTTCGCCTTGTTTATCTTTCGGGATGGCCATCTGGATATTCCATGTTGTCTGCAAATTCTCTTCAGTGTTGTGGGGCAAACTACACAGAAATTTAAAGGGTAACCACAAATTATTCTAAAAGGAGGCAAAAATGCTATCCTGTTTTCAAAGGATATGTTGACAGAGGGCATAGAGAATAGTTAAACAAGGAAACAACCAACAGTACATCCCAAGTTACTAGTTCCACCAATACCAGGAATAAAAGAACCTTGGTTGATGAAGCTAAATGATCCAAACAAAAATTTCAACAATTCATAAGAAATGGAAGAACAACATTTTCATGAGTCAAATGAAAAATCCTCCAGAAAGCTTAGATATTTAAAGTCTGATTTCATAAGTATATACATGGCATGGAGCTCACCACCAATGCTTTTGGCAGCATCCTTGAGACTTCCAGAAAAGTATTGCTGAAGAACGCTCAAGCTCACAGTTTTCTCCGCTGTGCTTCTCTTTTTCTCCACCTGTCTTCTAGATCCACTCGTCGTCTATGCAAAATATATATATATAAATGAAAAACAAATTCTGTTCAATACAATAAGCATGTTCTTTCTACTTTTGGGAAGCTAATTCACCAAAAGGGACAGAAATACATCTCAAGGAAGTTACCTGTACGTTAGAGCTATTTGATCCTATTTTATCATTTTTTGAACTACACACATTAAGAGGCAGATTGGCAGCCGAGTTCAAGTTTCCTTCTGATAATGCAGTTTGAGAGCTTCCATTTGATATGGAAATTGGTTGGAAGCTTGGCAGTGCTTCCTTTGGCAACCCAACTTCAGAACATTCCTGTCCAACAAATTCTGTATCTGAAACTGTTCTCAAACTCTTACAAATTCTCTGCATGGTACCTGAGAGGTTGTTCAACAGGAGTTGCTGGTCTGAACTCTCCTTTATATTGACAGGGAGAAAGAGCTCTAAAATATAGTCATCATCACCAGTGTAGGTGCTTCTTAGCCTGATTGCAACTGCAGCATTCAGACCATACTTGCGTGCATGATGAACAAGTGGATACTCAGTTATATCATATGTCTTCACATCAGGGAAGAAGAAGGGATGATTTGATTGCACTGCTTTTCCAGCTATACCTTGCCCTTCCTCAATATAATGTTCAGCACACGCATGCACAAAACCTTGCATCTCTCTGTCATTCACATAGCAAGCTGTACCTTCAATGCACAAGACACATTTACCACTTGACCTTGAATTGGCTTCCCTAACACGCACTTTTATGATTTCATCAACAGCTTCCTCAGTATAATTGCAAGGCATCCATGTAAGAGCCAGTGGCAATCTATGTGCATGGCATACAGCTCGTAGAACATCGGCTATTTCAGACAAGGCAGCTCTTTTGTTGCTTGAGAGACACTGAAAAATAATGATTTCCGTTAGACAAAGACAAAGTGCTGATTGAAAGTGTTCAGAGTTAGGCCTTCTCATTGTTTACTCTTATTTATTTCATTATCAAATTGCAGGCTTGTGTTTTGCACCCTTTCCATTAAGTGTGGATGCTAGAACTATCCAACAAAAAGAAAAAGGAAGTTGCAGATAAATACCTGAGGAAGAAGTCGAGGAGGTGGAGTGCTCCTTAAGTTCACAGCCTGCAAAAAGTCAAGTCAAGAATTAACAGTGCCATCCAGCATATATTTTCACATAAAGTTTGGATTCTGATTCAGATGGTTGTCACATGAAACAACTGGCAAGCTTTAATCATCGATTCATAAATTTCAAGATGCAAAAAGTGTCCAAGTGATAAAAGTAAAGAACTTTTAAAACTAATATGCTTCAATAAAACCAAAAGGTGTAGACTTCCATACACTAAACTAGCTTGTATCAGTAGTTGTTTTAGTGATAGAAACACAAAAACCAGGACATTAAACATTTATTCCCATCATATGCAACAATTTTGCTTGTCATCCTTAAATGATGCAGAATATTGAGGACAACAAATTAATTCCTAGATGATAAATCGAATGTTCTTGATCAAAATGCAGCAAATTATAGTTCTAAAACATAATAGCAAGAAAAAAGAACTTTTTGTTATCAACAACATACCAAGTACTTACAGGCTGGACTCCCATCCAAAGAAATGGAAGAAGCAGAACAAGAGGTTTCAAAAGGGAGGAACTTATTCATGAACAACAATTTGTTCTCACTCGGAGCAAACAATTTCTTCCCTCCCTCTCCTTTACAGGGTTTTGAAATGGAAAACAGGTTGCTAGGCAAGATACATAATTTATCATTGAAATTGCGCAACACAGACAGATTTAAATGGGAACAAAAGCTTTTTTACCAAAATATATAGTAAAATGAAACTAACCTCAAGCGCATCACAAACATTTTCCATCTCTGAATCAAAATCTGGTTTCTCCTTAACAGTGACAAGTTCCAGAACAGCACAGCA